TTATTAGGGTGGGATGGTCTTGGGAGCGGAGTTCCTGGAGGTGGGGTATTGCACTTACCTAACCCAATGGGAGATTGCACCCCAAGGATCTCCTTTGGGGCCCACTCGTGTGATGTGAGCATCCAGTCTTACCTCCTTATATCACCTGTAGACCTCACAATTCCTGGTCTTTAATTTAGTCTCTAAACTGTATCTCACTCACCCGCTCCCTTTGTTCTTCCCAATCAGGAACCTCTCTCTCCAGAGGTCTTGTGGGCTGTTCTCTGGGGACTGCACACTGGCTGCAGAGAGCTGTTTTGTATCAGGCAGTTCAGGACCAGCTGCATATCCGCAAGCACTGTGCCGGGACAGTAGCTTCCAGGGAGAGGGAAACTGGCGACTATAAGTACTTTGATATTGCTTTTAAGCCCCAGCAGGTGTTCCAAGCTGGGAGTAGCCCCAACTAAAATGGTAACAAAGGTGTCCCAAGATGGAGGCGGCTGCTTTCAGTGATGGGGTGTCGAGTTGGGTAGTACTGGGTGGTAGCATTGGGCAGCTATTCAGAAATGCAGTTCTGTGGCATGCAGTGTTGTGGTTGGCGCCTGTCTCCAGACCCTGTGCAGTATCCCCAGGTGGAGGCTACTGCATATAGGGTACTATGGTAGTGGCTGCAGTGTCCCAAGATAGAGGCGACTAGGGGAGCCCCACGTTGATAGACGGGGATCCACATGGGAGTAGCGGCTAGAGGTCCTGCATCTGGGTAGCAGCCGGGTGTCCTGTGTGGGAGCAGTAGCTGGGATTCGCAGGGATGCTGATGCCAGTGGTCCTGCTTGGGCATAGCAGCCACAGGTCCTGCGTGGGCAAGTGACTGGGAGTACTGCACTGACACTGAGGCCTAGAGACCTGCACAGCACAGCAGCTGTGATTCCTTGCAGGAGCAGCTGTTGGGGGTCCTCTAATCACTTGCAGAGAAATAGTATTCCCACCACTTGAATCCCAGGTCACAGAGTGACATAGAATGCAGACTCCCTCTAGCCTGCCATCTTGAAGCCCCCTTCCCTCAACTAATTCCAAGTTTTAAAAGCAGATATTTGAGCCAGGCATGGTGGCACATGCCTATAATCCCAGTGGCTTGGGAGGCTGAGACAGGAGGATCATGAGTTCAAAGCCAGCCTCAGCAATGGTGAGGCACTAAGAAACTCAGTAAGACCTGTCTCTAAATAAAATACAAAATAGGGATGGGGATGTGGCTTAGTGGTTGAGTCCCCTGAGTTTAATCCTCAGTACCACCCCACTCAAAAAAAGTAGATATTAGAATAAATGAAAATGTAGGTTCAGAAAAACATTCTCTGAGTTATCTTGTTGGAACAACTGCTCCAAATTTACATGATTAGTGTGGGCCTGAAGCCCTGCTAAAAAAAGAAAGGTTCCTGCCTGGCGTCCTCTCTATCAAGTTTTCTACCAAGAAAAAGCAAGCAAGTTCTGACAAAGACCACATTTAAAGGGTGTGAGCGCTTCTATCAGAGCAGTGAGTCAATGGTCCCTCCTAACACTGTGCATTTTAAGATTCTATAATTCTTTGCTTTCATAAGATTTTTGTTCTGATGAAATATTTCCATAAAGTTTGACTTTTCTCTAGTCAAAAGACCAAACAAGTAAAGGATAAGGCTGAAATGTTAACAAGTCTATAAAGATAGAGCCTCTGCTTCAGAGACAGAAACATCTAGCCTTTAAATCAGCAACTATCTAATGAGTGCTCTTCTCCTCTACTTCCTTTAACTTTCCAGTCACTCCCACTACTTTGGCCATAAGCCAGACAATTGAAACAACCAACAGAGCTGGTAGACCCACCACTCTTCCAACATAACATTCATGTTAACACAGGCTCAAGTGTCTCTTTTGGTCTGTTTTCAGTTGACAAAAGGAAAACACTTCACTTACTCTAATGTTGCACACCATTATCCAATGCTACTGAATTTTCAGAAACATGCACTTTTTTTCTTATAAGTTGCCCTTTAGAAAGGGACACAGGGCTGGGGTTGTGGCTCAGCAGTAGAGCACTTGCCTAACACTTGCCAGGCGCTACGTTCGATCCTCAGCACCACATAAAATAAATAAATAAGTAAATAATGAAGGTATTGTGTCCAACTACAAGAAAATATTCAAATAAATAAATAAAAGGGGAGGAAGGGACACAGGCAGGGGATGCAGCTCAGTGCACTGGATGTAGCTAGAGCACTTGCCTAGCAAGCCCTGGGTTTGATTCCCGGCACTTAAAAAAAAAAAAAATTTAAATAAATAAGTCAAAATAAAAAGAAGGGAAAAGTAGTAAATCTGATGTGACTTTTCTCAGAATGAGGAAGCACTCAGTGCTTATTATTTTTATGCCAATAGGAATAGTAGTCACATCAGTCTACTTGGGTGATAGACGATTAAAATAAAATCTTTCACCACTTAATCTGGACCTATAAAATCACTGTCAGCATTATTTCTGATTTAGCTAGATTGCCCCACACTATGAATCCCCAGGGTCTTGTGCATGCCGGCCCTGAATCTATCTTTTTAAATGAATTTATTTTTCCCACAGCATTCTGAATGACTTGTATACATGTGAAGGAATACAAAAGTTTAGAACTGAGCATGATGGTGCACACCAATAATCCCAGTGACTTGGAAGGCTGAGGCAGGAGTATTAACAAGGTTTTTTGTTTGTTTTCTTTTTGAGTACTGGGGATTGAACAAGGGCACTTGACCATTAAGCCACATCTCCAGCCCTATTTTATTTAGAGACAAGGTCTCATTGAGTTGCTTAGCATCTTATTTTTGCTGAGGCTGGCTCTGAACTCGCAATCCTCCTGCCTTAGCCTCCTGAGCCGCTGGGATTATAGGCGTGTGCCACCACGGCTGGCTGTATTACAAATTTAAAGCCAGTCTAAGCAACTTAGTGAGACCCTGCCTCAAAAAAGAAAAATGGCTGGGAATATGGCTCAGTGGTTTAAAAAACACACCACCACTGGGTTCAATCCCCCAGTACCAAAAAAAAAAAAAAAAAAGTTTAGAAATCTGTTTGGCAATCTTAAAAATAAAATATCTGTCTATATTACCTACTAACCTAAAGACCCTAGGTAGTAAGGCCAAAAGCCAAAGGGACTTAGATACAGAATTATAGAACCTGAGAATTTGAGTGGCCATTAGAGGTGATTCCAGAAGCCTATCCTCTTGTTTTATGGGTCAGCTTCTCTCAGTAAGTGAATGATACATGTTTTCAATAAAACCACTCACACTACAAACACTACTCTGCATTTCACTTTTTTTTTCCATAATGTCATGGGTGCTTCTACAAGTCATAGATCCAGATGTACTTTTATCTTTTTCCCCAACATTTTTAGGCATGTATACACACACACTAACTTAAATTAAATGGAAACATGTTGGTTTTGTTCTTTAATGGCTACATAATATTCCAATTTATCCCACCACTTTCAGTTTTATTATTGCTGATTTTACCACTCTGAAAAAAATCAGTAAACTTCCTCATGCACATATCTTCATGTGCTGGAGTTTCATTTCTATAAAAGATTGTCAGTAGAAGATGTTCTGGGTAGAAAACCAGTGTATTTTTAGTTTTTACAGTCATTTCCATGTTGCTTTCCAAAAAGGTTGAATACTTTACATTTTCACTAACAATATATGCAACTATTCTTCTCCTCAACCTACTGTTTCATGCTATTAGTTTAATGAGAATAAAGTGATGTCCTACTGTGACTTCATCCTGGAGACAGAGCATCTTTTCAAATGATTCTTGGCATTTGGAGTTGCTCTTTTCTTTAGCTGCTCTTTCCTTCTATTTCCTTCTATTTTTTTTTTAATGATTAAGTTTAAATCCTGTTTATGGTATCTTTTACCATATAATTTATTTCCTGTGTAGTCATATATAGACAAACACACACATTTGTGTGTGCCCAAATCACAATGTACCATATTATCTTATACCTTTTTTCCCCTTAACACTTATCAGGAACATTGTCCTATGCTAATAAATATCTACCACATAATTTTTTATATCCGGAGAGAAATAGAGTAATAGTTCATTATACAAAAAAGCCATAGTATTAAACCAGTCTCCTCTAGCAGGTCATGTATATTGTTACAAACTACTGCCCATTTAAACAATGTCCTGATTTTTTTTTTTTGGGGGGGGGGTGGGTACTGGGGATTGAACCCACAGGTGCTTTACCACTGGGTTACATCACTAGTCAATTTTATTTTTTATTTTGAGACAGGGTCTTGGTATTTCCCAGGCTGGCCTGGAATTTACAATCCTCCTACTTCAGCTACCTGAGTTGCTGGGATTATAGGAGTGTGCAACTGCACCTGTACTATATACTTCTTTGAGTCTATTTGTGCTCATTCCTTGCATTTGAAAGCCAATTATCTTCAAGGAAGAGGTGGGAGAAGGTGGAAAGAAATATTAAAAAGAACAGGGAGACCCTCTATTAGTGACATGCCCTTGAAGTTTTGTGTCAAAATGTATGTGCTTCACATATAGCTATATCCCCAGTCCTCATGTACTTAATCTTAATTATTAGTTCTGTTAGATATTTTTATTTCATGTAATCAAATACAAATAATAGCATTATTGAGCATTTTCTACATGCTAGGTACAATTCTGAGTTTTATATGATTAAATTCATTTAATTATTTAACTAATTTTACAGATGAAGAAATTGAAGCATGAGCTTAGGTAACTTGTCCAAAATCACACTAAGAAATGCAGATCAGGGTTTCACCCAAGAGATCTGTCTTCTGAGCAGGGCTCTTAATCGCTAGCAACAATGTCTATCCAACAGGTTAGATGAAGTGCCAAGTCATTCAGATAGTAAGTGGATTCAAAGCCAGGATTTGAATCCAGGTCTCACAGACCTCAAAGCCCATGCTCTATGACTTTCTGGTTATAAACTAGAAGACAACAGACAGTATATAGACAGTAGAAAAACAAAAGAACAGAACACTTAAACTACCTTTATATCATTCAGAAATTCGATGTCTTTCTTCTGTATTACTTTATTTGTCCATATTAAGGCACTATAGGTCTTAGTCTTTTCTTCTTCACCTTCTTTCATATGTCCTATTGCCTCTCTGAACAAAAACAATAAAAGAAAGTTTGCCTGAATATATATTGTACACACAAGCCTTGCCCCAAATTCCTCTTTTTAAAAATAGCTTTATTAAGATACAATTTCTGTACAATTCCCTTAGATTAACTGTACAAATTCAATGATTTTTAATATCTTTACAGAGTTGTGTGGCTACCACCACCTGCTAATTCTACAATGCAATCATCATCCCCCAAAAGAAATCACATACCCATTAGCAGGCACTTCCTATTCTTCCTCCACCTCAGCCCTAGGAAACTATTAATTGATTTTCTGTCTTATATAGAGTTCCCTATTCTGAACCTTTCATATAAAATGAAACCCTACAATATGTGGTGTTTGGTGACTACCTTCTTTCACTTCATAGTGCTATCAAGGCAGCTATGTTTCACACGTGTCAGTCTTTCATTCCTTTTTACTACTTAATAATATTCCATTATATGACATACAGTAGTCCCCCCTTATCTATGATTTCCCTTTTTCGCAGTTTCAGGTAAATTTTGGGCTGAAAATAATAAATGGAAAAATCCCAGAAATAAACAATTCACATTTTAAATAACTTATATTACACTATAAAGTTATAATTGTCCATTTTATTATTAGTTGTTATTGTTAATCTCTATTGTGCCTAATGTAGAAATGGCACACTTACAATTCTACCAGCAATGTAGGCTATAGTTTTTCTATATTCTTATCAACACTTGTTTGTTTGTTTTTTGTTTTTTGTTTTGTTTTTTTAAATAGTCAATCTAGTGAGTGTAAAGTAGGATTTCATTGTGGTTTTGATTTGCATTTCCCTAACAACTAATGATGTTGAGCATTTTTTCATTTTTCATTGACTATTCATATATTCTTCTTGGAGAAAAGTCTACTTAACCATTTGTCCATTTTTAATTAGAGTACATTATATATTCTGGATATAATTCCTTTTTCAGACATATAATTCACAACAAAAACTTCCCTTTTGAAATCATCTCCAGTAAGCCTACCCTTACCTTGAAACAAGCTGCAAGTCACGTACTTGGATTTTGTTAGATGACTTATTAATTTTCTATAGTAGCAGAAAAAGAAAAACAATGAGCAACTCTAGTTCAGTTACAGAGTTACAGAAACATGACGATTTCCATGTTATTAAGTGGTTTACCTGCTGAAGTTCCTTAATTTCTTGTGAAGTGAAATGTACTCTATGAGGATTCACCAGCTCAATTGCAAAGGGCCTTCCTGGCAGCACACACCCCGTCATGAAACAGAAACGTGTTGATGGAGTTAACATTTGGGCTAATGCAAGAGGGTTAGGAGGTGTGAAAAACAGGTTGAGTACTAGAGGACTGAAAGTTTAGTGACATGACTATATCTGGGGGAGGGAAAGAATGTGTGAAAAGAATCAAGGGGCTTTTGAGGGGGTGAGGGCTGCTAAACTCCAGCAGAGGCATTATGTGAAAATGACTGCTTTCCCGAAGGTCCACAAACAAGGCTGTGTTAATCACAAAATAAAATTCAAACAACCACTACTTAAATTGGTTACTCTAGCATAATGTTTTCACATGCAGGAATGCTCAAGTATACCAAGTTGAAATTCACTCTCCCAGCCTAATCCACTAGGGAAATACAAAAGCTATGATTCCATGAGACAAAAGGACTACAGATCTAAATTTGGGATTAATACTCATCATTTTTCTTCTAATTCAACAAGATAAAATGAAAAAAAAAAGGAAAGTCTACGATAGCAGAATCATTTTTTAAGTGAAGATGATCATTTTTGAAAACTACTGCTGATTCTGAAGCATTTTTACGTGGAATAACTAATAATCAAATTTAGGGGAGAAAAAATCAGGTACCTTCTTTTTAATGCACATAAAAGTCCCTTACAACCTACAGGTATGAAATAAGGATGGGCCCTGAAGAAATGATTCCTGTAAAGACATACATAATATAATTTACAAAGGCTGCTCCATAATCCACAAGGCTTCCCCCCTTGGAGAAGCTCTGAGCTCTGCCCACTTTGGTTCTGACTAAGTGACTATGGAAAGCCTGCTGTTTGGGAAGGCTGACCATAGAAAAGTTACTTTTAATCAGGTGATGCTGATGCAATCTTACCATTTCCTAATGTTCTCACATCTACATCTTCTCTTCCAGAGGATGAGAAATTAAAACCTTTGGAAAGCATATCAAGAAAAAAATATCAGAGACATAATAACCCTGAGACATTCATTTCCAACCTCTAGTAGAAATCCAATTTAAGCTCCTGAACAGTGGTACTAGATAGTTATCATCCCATCTCTAACCCCAATCTCTGTTGAAAATAGTAATGATAATAACAAGCAACACTTATTGAGCACATTTAATATCATTATTAAATGCCAGGCACCAGGGTAAAAATCATGCACACATTATTATATTTAATCTTTATAACTTTATAAAGTAAGCAGTAAATAAATAAAAAGAACACCAAGCTTTAAAAATTCAGGTAATTTCCCCAAGTCACACAATTAAATTGCAGAGCTAGGTCAAAAACCCATGGGAAAGCCAAACACAGAGCACTATTTGAAGGAAGGCCCCACCACCTTCCTGGTGACCAGCTTATGGTAAAACTTCTATCATGTTTTTTTACTTTCCTTAAAATAAATACATTTATTTAAGAATTAAACTCTAAGAGGTGGCAAGGGGAGGTTTAACTCTTTAAAAAATTCATTATATAATGAAACCTAGGCTGAAACCATGATAAAACTAGCATACATTCTTCAATTAAGTAGATCATTGTAGACTAAAAGCCATAAATACTGGATGGGGAAATGGCGCTTTTTTTTTTTTTTAAGATAGAGAACTGATAAATTATTTAATAAGTTGCTACCAATTTGCTACCAACCCAGTAGCAAATACTACCATTGAGAAGGCATTATTCTAAATGCTTTGTGCATGTTAACACTGTCATTATCATCATTTTACTTATGAGGAAGGTGAGACAGAGACATGATGCTTAAGGTCCTATCATTCTAAGAATTGCAGATCCATTGGCAGGGTTAAGTATGAAACAGGTAATCTGGCACCCATTTCTTAACCACCCAACAATAACTGCATCACCAAAGACATGGCCAGAGGAACTCAGACTTGTACTCAGGGGGACAGAAAGGACCAGTCATCTTTGACCAAGGACTAGGAAAGGTTGGGATATTTAGTCAAAAAAGTGGTAAAGTTTAAGGTCTCTGAACACAGAGGTTGAAGGCTAGGAGAACTTTATTCATTTAGTAAACAAATACCTATAGAGTACCTACAATGTACAAGGCCCTGTGCTTGATGCAGAGAGATAAACACAGTCCTAGTTACTATTGGTGGAGGGATATGTACTATAATATGGAAAAGTAAGCATGGGACAGGATATGCACAGGAACATTATTACACTAAGAGCACAATTTTAATATATGTTATGAGAGTTTGAATTTATTCCTCAATATTCCAGTCACTTTGGGGAGCACAAGATGAGGAAGAACAAGACTTCTAAGAAGAGTAGATAGGGAAAATAGGAGGGGAAGAAGAACTGTATCCTTTATTTATTTATTTATTTTTTGGTTCTTTTTAGCTATACATAAGATTCATTTTGACATAATTATAAAAGCACGAAATGTAATTTGTTCTAATTCAGTACTTAGTAGTTCTCCTTTCCTTTTCCTGCTCCATTCCCTCTACTCTACTGATCTTTCTGCTCTTTATATATATTTTTAAATTTATTGTATGTAGATACACATGATGGTAAGTTCACTGTGGTATATTCATATATGTACATAGGAAATTCAGGTCAGATTCATTCTACTGTCTTTCCCTATCCTATCCTTCCTCCCTTCCCCTTCATTCCACTTTGTTTACTCCAGCGACCTTTCTTCTCTTTTTCTTTTATCCTCCCCACCTTAATTTGGATTACCTTCCACATATCAGAGAAAACATTATACCTTTGATTTCTGGGGACTGGCTTATTTCACTTAGCATGATAGTTTCCAGTTCCATCCATTTACCAGCAAATGTCATAAAGTCATTCTTCTTTATGGCTGAGTAATACTCAATTGTGTATATATACCACAATTTATCTATTCATCTGTTGATGGGCACCAAATTGGCTCCCTAGCTTGGCTATTGTTAATTGTGCTGCTATAAACACTGATGTGGCTACATCACTATAGTATGCTGATTTTAAGTTCTTAATATATACTGAGGAGTGGGATAGCTGGGTCAGGTCATACATTGGTTCCATTCCTTGTTTTCTGAGGAATCTCCATACTGCTTTCCAGAGTGATTGCATTAATTTGCAGTCTCACCAATAATGTATGAGTGTACTTTTCCCCCACATCCTCACCAACATTTATTGTTACTTGTATTCTTGATAATTGCCATTCTAACTAGAGTGAGATGAAATCTCAGTATAGTTTTTTAAAAATATTTTTTAAATAATGTTATTGGGGCTGGGGTTATAGCTCAGCGGTAGAGCGCCTGCCTCACACACATGAGGCAAGATAAATAAATAAATAGGCAGATAAATAAATAAATATATTGTGTTAATCTTTAAAAAATAATGCTATTGTATTTTTTATGCCTTTATATTATTTATTTATTTTTATGTGGTGCAGAGGATCGAACCCAGTGCCTTACATGTGCTGGACAAGCACTCTACCACTGGGCCACAACCACAGCCCCTAGTATAGTTTTAATTTGCATTTCTCTAATTGCTAGAAATGTTGAACACTTATTCATACATCTGTTGACCACTGTATTTCTTCTTTTGAGAAGTTTCTCTTTAGTTCCTTTTCCATTTATTGATCGGGCTGTTTTTTGGTGTTACGTTTTGAGGGGTTTTGGTTTTTGGTTTTTGTTTTTTTTGGTATATCCTGGATATTAATGCTCTGAGGAACAGGTGGCAAACATTTTTTACAATTCTGTAGGCCCTCTCTTCATGCTTGTTTTCTTTGTTGTGAAGAAGCTTTTTAATTTGATGCCATATCACTTATTGATTTTTAATTTTACTTCTTGTATTTTAGGAGTTTTGTTAAAGATGTCAGTTCCTGAGCTGACATGCTGGATTGTTGGGCCTACATTTTCTTCTAGCAGTTGCAAGTTTTCTGGTCTAACTCTTAAGTCTCTGATCCACTTTGAGTTGACTTCTGTGCAGGGTGAGTGATAAGGGTCTAGTTTCATTCTTCTACATATGGATAATCAATATTCCCAGCACCATTTGTTTAAAAGGCTATCTTTTCTCCAACATATGATCTTGGCACTTTTGTCAAGTATCAGATAACTGTAATGTATGTGGGTTTGTCTCTATGTCTTCTATTTCATTGATCTTCATGCCTTTTTTGGTGTCAGGACTATGCTGTTTTTGTTACTATAGCTCTGTAGTTCAATATTGTGATACCACCTGCTTGACTTTTCTTACTAAGGATTGCTTTGGCTATTGCGAGTCTCATTTTTCCAAATAAATTTCATAACTGCTTTTTCTAGATCTGTGAACATAAGAATTGCATTGAATCTGTATAGTGCTTTTGGTAGTATGGTCATTTTGACAATATTCATTCTGTCTATCCAAGTACATGGGAGGTCTTTCCATCTTCTAAGGTCTTCTTCAATTTCTTTCTTTAGTGTTCTATAGTTTTCACTGTAGACGTCCTTCACCTCTTCTGTTAGATTGATTCCCAGATTTATTTGTTTGTTTGTTTTTTAAAGACTACTGTGAATGGGATTGTTTTCCTAATTTCTTTTGAGAAGATTCATCATTGGAGTGTAGCAACATGATTTATTATTGAATGTTATTCTTGCTACACTGCTGAATTAATTTATTAGCTCTAGAAGTCTTCTGGTAGAGGTTTGTGGGTCTTCTAAACATAGGATCATGTAAACAGTAAACACAGATAACTTAAGCTCTTCTGAAAAGAAGGAGAAAACTATTTGAATCCCTTTAATCCCCTTTTCTTGCCTGATTGCTCTGTATATAGTTTCAAGGACTATGTTGAAAGTGGGCATCCTTGTCTTGTTCCTGTTTTTAGAGGAAATGCTTTCAGTTTTTTTCCTAGAGTAACGATGCTTTAGGTTTGTCATATACAGCCTTCACAATGTTGAAGTAAGTTCCTTCTACCCCTAGTTTTTACAGTGTTTTAAACATAAATGGGTGCTATACTTGGTCAAATGCTTTTTTCTTTTTACATCTATTGAGATAATAATATGATTCTTGTCCTTAAGCCTATTTATGTGGTGAATTACATCTGTACTTGAAACCCACTTGATCATAGTACACTATCTCTTTAGTGTGTTTTTGTAGGTGGTTTTCCAATATTTTATTAAGAATTTTTACATCTATATTTATCAAGGATGTTGGTCTGAAGTTTTCTTTCCTTGACATGTTCTTGTCTCTTTTGATAACAGAGTGATACTGGCTTCGTAAAATAAGTTTGGCAGTGTTCCCTCCTTTTCTATTTCATGGAATAATTTGAGGAGGATTGGTATTCTTTTTTTAAAAATATTTATTTTTTAGTTTTAGGTGGACACACAATATCTTTATTTTTTATGTGGTGTTGAGGATCGAACCCAGAGCCCCGCGCATGCCAGGTGAGCACACTATTACTTGAGCCACATCCCCAGCCCTGGTATTAATTCTTCTTAATGGTCTAGTAGAACTTGGGCTGAGAATCCATTTGGTCCTGGGCTTTTCTTTGTTGGAAGGCTTTTTTTTTTTTTTTTAAGAGAGAGAGAGAGAGAATTTTTAATATTTATTTTTTAGTTTTCGGCGGACTCAACATCTTTGTTTGTATGTGGTGCTGAGGATCGAACCCGGGCCGCACGCGTGCTAGGCCAGCGCACTACCGCTTGAGCCACATCCCCAGCCCTGTTGGAAGGCTTTTGATAACTGCTTCAATTTCATTACATGAAATTGATCTGTTTAAGTTTTCTATGTCCTCATGGTTCAATTTGGGTAGGTCATATGTCTCTAGGAATTTGTCAGTATCCTCAAGATTTTCTAGCTTGTTAGAGTATAAATTTTCAAAATAGTTTCTGGTGATCCTCTGGATTTCAGTAGCATCTGTGGTAATATTTCCTTTTTCATCTTGGATTTTGATAATTTGAGTTTTTCCCTCTGTTTTGGTTAGTTTGGCTAAGGGTTTATCAACTTTAAACTT